TGAAACAGTTCTTCAGATGGGTAAAAAGAAAAGAAAGGAAAAGAAAAGAAAAAGAAAGAACACACACACACACACACACACACACACACACACACACACACACACATCCAGCTATTCTATAGAGATTTTTGGTACAGGTGCCCAAATTTCAATGGCCATTACTGTTACTTAAGATGGTAAAAGTTCGTTTAGCAGGGACACGAATTATTGACCTGGAAAACTGTTCATTGCTCTTGGCTCATCTAGATCAGCGCATGGCAGAGGGGGAAATAGAAGGCTTTAGGAATGTGACTGTGGTCTTACGATCATTGACAAACAGAATTGAGCTGGTCTGAGAATCTGTTGACATAAAAGCTCATAATTGTCTATATTGTTCTAAATTCTTGTTCTCTTTACTTAAGTCATGGATGGTAAGTGATGTCAGATAGTTATTATCTTAAGAAAATGTATTAAAAACCATGGATGTGTGCCCATGTGCACACACATAAGCACAACCAGACTGGGCAGATGGAAAGACCACGAGAGAAAAACAGTAACTTCTCTTACCACTACAGTGAGGCCTAGGCTGACATAAAGGCTGACATATGACACATATCGGCTGGCTACAAGAACCATTATTCTGACCCTGACAGTTGTAGAGGTGAGACCTAGACTATCCTTCTGGTAAGGCGTTAGAAACAAATGAATTCTCCTCTGCTTAGATGCTATCACTGGTTCACAGTGGGGGCTGGGCCACCTGTTCTCTCTCACATCCTTCTTTTTCTTTTTTCCTAGCATGTTCCAGGCCTCAAGACGAGTACCGCACTGAAAATATAGGGTTGTGTCTTCTGAAATGAGAAAGAGACCTTATATAAAATTTTATTTGGGGGAAAATGATGCCAACAGTTTGACTACATTTAATCTCACATAAGAAAGTACATGGGTCTTTGGGTCAAGAAAATAGCCAGACCTGTTTTCCTTGCAATTTGCATGTCACTAACAATTGAAAATAGTAAGAGTGTAAAGCTGAATATGAGGGCAAAATATACTGAGCAATACTGGTCTAAAGGACCCTGTGTGTCTTCATGATCTCAAACCATAACTTCCCTGGAGTATCCATACACTATAATCCTGGTAAGTTTCATCTGCATTTGGGGCTAAAGAAGATTCTGGATCTACTTCTATATAGTACCTATGAGTATAGCTGCTTTAATGCATTTAGAGCTAAACCATTATCCATTGAAGTCAATTTAATAACATGTTGACTGCTTAGGAGTAGGACAGATACTGACATCACTAGAGTATTGTTGAAAACTATATCTGATTTTATCATGCAAAAATGATACTATAGTGGTAAAACTGCTTCAGATGGAATGCATATCATGGGAATACACATCAGATTGGGAGTTAGGGGTCTGGACTCTGGTCCTCATTACCCGTACGACCTTGAAGATGTAATTTATTCTGGTTTTGTCTCAGTTCCTTTACCTATAAACCGAGCGACTGCACAAAACAGGGCTTTCAAGAGAATGCAAGTCTCAGCTGCTTCGTGAGATGGCTTTTCAAGTGTCATCTAATTCCTTCCCTGAAGCTTAATGGCCACCATACCTACCTGCTTCTCCTTGTAACAGTCCTTCTCAGAGGCTGTCACTGATATATCCCTATCTTTTCCTAAGATGCCAAGACTTCTGTAAAAAGAAAAGTCCTTTCTCAGACTAACCAAGGGCCTCAACATCAAATATCTAAAAGGCACGGCAGATAACAGAGATGTGTGCCTGCATCAGGCCAGCCCTAATGAACAGAGGGTCGTTAGTCCTGTGGCAAACTGAATACTGCAAGCCTTCATCCCAAAGGCATTTGGATTAGAACATCATTAATCTGGGTGATGGCTGAATAGTTTATGTAATCATAGTAAATTAAGCCCATTACCAAAGCTAGTTGACAATCTCAGGATTAGATGCTTGCTGATAAGGTCCCTGGCAAGTGTGAGATTCTAGGGTCCAAAATAAGATGGATTCTGAGAAAGCCCAACTCCAGATTTCCAGAGTCAGTTTTGACTCCAATATATGCTTTGGAGATCTCGCATGGTTTCCTTGCTAGCCAGAACTGGAATGTTCCCAGAAGTTTTAAGAAATCCATTGGCTCCCTCACCTTTTTGTTCTATTTCCTGCGATCTCAACTAATAATTGAATTTCAATCCATCTGTCGATTTCCACAGCCTCATCCTGGCTGCTGAGCTACAGTGGGGAAAAACAGTAAGTGATCCAATGGAATCTTGGGGGCTGAACACCGCAAAAGGAAGCAGATGGATTTGGAGTGTAATAACCTTAGGCTGAACATATGGGCTTTGCCACTTCCTGCAATCAGAGCTACGGGAGCACTATTTCCTTAGTCCCATCTTAATGGGGTTGCGGTGAGAACAAAATGACTTACTGCATTTAAAGTGCTAGACGTGAGGTATAAGTCCTTGTAAGTGCACAGTAAATATGAACATATCCTCTCCAGGGGACTGGATCCTGCACACACCAGAGCCAGCCAGGTAGACACAGGTGGCCTGACTGCCCCTCCACAAGGGATATATGTAGAAGTTTGGAGTTCTTTCAGACACAAGCTACAGAACTCTGTTTTGCATCTACCCAGTGGCTGCACTGCTGGATTCTACCACACAGAACCTTATGCCGTGTAGGGAAAGAAAACAAAAAAACAAAAAAACACCATGTAAATAGTTGCTTATTCGAAAGAACATGCAGACAAAGCTAAAGTTGATATGCTGGAAAACGGCTACAAGAAAAAAGATTTTCTTCCAAGTTTGGTGATAGTGGCAAAAACATAACAAAACAAAACAGAAAAACCTATGGCAGTAAAGAACCTAGGACAGATACATTTTCAGTGAGTGTAATTGACTTAATGAAGATAAAATATATTTCAGACAAGAATTTGAGGTGAGCCTGAATTATTGATTCACTTGCACTTGTAGCCTTGGACCTATGATTTGGAGTCATAAATGGAAGTGAGCTGGGTTTAATATTGTCACTTTAGCTTTATTGATCTAAAGGATGGACAATCTGCTGTCTTAAGGGAATCCACAGGTTTCTGAGATAAATTGAATTACTTGACTAGAACAGTATATGTACATTTAACAGAAAGTGATAAGTTCGTGGAAATAAAATTTTTTATCAGTATTGGGAAAAAGAAGTACATTGTTATTTCAAGATGCTTATCTCGGCCAATTCATGAGATGCCAGAAAAATGCTTCTTTGGTTGTTCGTGGTAGATTTTCTTTGTGTCACAACAAAACAATAAACTCTAAAACTGCATGGTTATGACTGTAATTTCACCTCAAAACAAATTTTTTTGTGTGACTTGGATAAATCACTCAAGATTTCTGCTTTCACTCTGTGCCAGCTACAACCTCTTTAGAATCAGTTTTTTCATCTGCATTTGGAGTACATTTTATTTCCTATATCATGCTCTTAATTAAAAAGAAATCTGAGTCCTTTTGTAGCAATTTTACGGTCCCTATAAAAACCAGGAAGCACACGTTTCTGCAGAACATGATTCTTTTGGAATCCTGGAAACTCCTGGCATCTCTTTTTGACTCAGAGTGTCCCCGAGGTATGCTATCTCACACGGCACCATGTCTTCTATGTCTTATTGCTTAACGGTACCAAGGTAGATTTATCTGTTTACTAGTTATTACTTGGATTTGTGTAGCTATTTTTTTGTGGCTGACCTGAAGGTCCCATTTTCCTTTATATTGTATCTGATGGCTTCCTTTTCTCTTTCCTGAGGCACCGTTAAAAAAGATGGGCACGAGAAGGTTTCAACAGTTACACGTAGAGCTCTCAACAATGCTTCCTTCATTCCTAGGTTTGTAATTAAATGAGCAAAGAGTTTCCACCAGGAGGAAAGCAAATGAGAAATTAAAGCCTTTGAAAAAGAAAAAAAATCAAATATGTTGTGACAGAAATTGTGAGATGCACAAAAAATCTGTTTTTCCATTTTTCTTTCTTTTTTTTTTTTAATTTTTTTTTTTCAACGTTTATTTATTTTTGGGACAGAGAGAGACAGAGCATGAACGGGGGAGGGGCAGAGAGAGAGGGAGACACAGAATCGGAAACAGGCTCCAGGCTCTGAGCTGTCAGCCCAGAACCTGACGCGGGGCTCGAACTCACGGACCGCGAGATCGTGACCTGGCTGAAGTCGGACGCTCAACCGACTGCGCCACCTAGGCGCCCCTGTTTTTCCCATTTTTCCACAATACTATGACAGTCAATTTTCAGCTGGGCACATACCCGGGATAAAGGCTTCATTGTCAGCTTCCTTAGGTGTGGCTGTGTGACTAAGGTCTGTTCAAGGAGATGTAAATAGGGAGGTAAGAAAGCTTTTGGAAGTCTCTCTTAAAAGGCAGCTAGTGTGTACCCTTTACCTTCATTTGTTTCAGCTTTTCCTCCTTCCTGATGGCTGGAATGGGGATGTGTTGGCTGGAGCTAAGCAGCCATTTTGGACTGTGAGGTGACCTTGGGAATGAAGGTCATATTCCACAGAATAACAAGATAGAAACCAGAGTCCCCATGGAATTTATGGAGCAGAGTCACTGTATCAACCCTATACTGCCTACCTATAGATTTAGATATGAAAAAGAAATAATGGCTTAGGTTATTTAAGTTACCACTATTTTGGATCTCTGTTACTCACACTGGAACCTAATTCAACCTAATAGGTGTACTTAAATCTCTTTATTTATGTGATATTAATGCAAAATCTGAACCAGTTAAAATCATTTGAAACAGAAAGCCATGATATTTTAACAAAAGTAGTTGAGAAGAAAATCTAGCAAAAAATATTATCACAAGGCCTCCGTAGTGTAAATTAAAAATGGTATTTATTTTCGTATCTCCATGAGAAGTGGTCAAGCCCTAATAAAATTATGTTTAATGAAAAAAAATTAAAATGTCACAAATTATTTTGCTATCATTAACCATGTATTCCAGAATATGCCACATGATCTAAGATTTTCTTTTACAGAGGAAGTCCCCATCTCACAGAGAGGTAATTCAGAATACACAGAGAGGTAATTTCAGATTTAGTAATCTGAAAGAACTAGAATTTAGCTTCTGAAAAACATTATAGAAAGAGATGGAAAAGTTTCAATAAAATGGACCAAAACAGCCAAATTTGAGCAATTATCTCCCTCTGCCCATTCTGGCCCAAAGACATGATTGATCTTCATACTATCTGAAGCCAGAATAGGGACATGGCATAGGAGAAGACATACAAATCTCATGCTCAAAAATCATCACTTGTTTTTATCCTTCAACTTTACTGGGGAATAATTGACAAATATAACTGTATATATTTAAAGTGTAAAATGTGATGATGTGCTACACCTTACAGGGTGGGATGATTACCAAGATCAAAATAACTAACACATCCACACCTCGCAGTAGTTTCTTTGTTTGGTGGTGAGAATGCTTAAAATCTACTGTCAGCATCTTTCAAGTATGTAACACTGCCATTTTTTTTTTCCATTTACCATGAGCCAATCCCTATAGGAACTCCCCAATGTGCTTTCTTTCAAAGAATGGCCACTGCAGTTCTGGGAGGGGGGAAATGTTATCCCCACTCTACAGAAGAGGAACTAAGACCCAGAAAAATTAAATAATTTCCCTAACCTCTAAGACCTCTTCCCTGAATTTTAGGCTTCTGTTAATGCTGTCCATGAAGGCTATTCATTTTATAGGAATTGGAAGAATCCACTGATATATTTAATGTCTGTATTTACCAAATAAATGGGTGCATGGTAATCTTTCATCTTCTATTACTTTACAAGAGTTTGAATTTTAGGATTCTATTGGTCACTGATGTTACTTTGTATGCCCATCTAAAACACACACAATTTTAACCTAAGTGAATAAATAGAAAAGTATTGCATCTATCAATCACAATTTCCTAGTTTGACAATATGAGTTCCAACCTATTCACATAAGTACCTTGAAAATAATAAGTCAGAAAGTGACCTACCTTTTGAGTGAGCAGAGCTTGCACAACTTGGTTGGCTACCTTTAAAAAATAAAGAAAGAGTTGCCATTTATAATAATGAGACTTTAGATGCATAGACTCTAATTTACCAATGTGTTTCCCACAGCTTATTCTACCTAATTAGCTCCTTATTTGCCTCTTTCCTCCCCATGTAGAGAACCTGATTATTTTCATAATAGGCCTATCCTTCTAGGTAATATTTTGCTTTTTTCCAAAGGTGACCTTGTTGCTAATTAAGATGGTTAGGTTGGAAAGATCATTCATACCTTGACTTCCACATTTCCATATTTGGAAAAATAATATCCTTTCATATGTAAAGTACTCCAAGAAGGCTAAAAAATGATACAGTGTAAAACACAATCCTAATTATCTGTACACAATTTCTACACTTTGCTGATTTACAATGTCCTTTGCCTCTCCTTCCTATACTTCTGCTGTGTGACTATTTCACTATTTAAAATGACTTGGAATAGAGATAGGTTTGAATGGTGAAGGATGAGAGCAAATCATCGTTCTATCTATGTTCTTCTTACATCCCCCATATCTTAATTTGTGCCATCCTTTTGTCACTGCTACCAGTAGCAGAGTCTGATAGTTGGTGACTCTTGTATCTATTTCCCCCTTTCTACTAAGTAATAAACTCTGATTTTTTGGCTGAGTACATTCAAGTACACACCCTACCCTTCCTTGTAGCTAAGTGTCACTTTGTGACAAGCTTCCGACTGATGAGTTATAACTAGACTTTTCTTGGGCTTATAGAAAGTATCTAAGAAGAAGAGGGCTCACCCTTCTTCTTCCTTTTCCTGTCTGGGATATAAAACTGAGAGCTGGAACCTCAGCAGCTACCTTGACAGTGAAAGTCACTGAGCCTGGCCCTGATGATACAGGGAGTTAGTTGCACTCTCTCTGTACTTCTATGAGAGAGGAAACATAAATGTCTACTTTTTTTTTTTTTTGTTTTTAGTTTCCTCCAATATGCAAACATATGGAGTTCTAACTCATATATTAACATAACCCTAGTTTTTTTTCAGGTATCAGGCAAGTTAGGGCAGTAGGAGAAGCTCTCCTCAGTAGAAGCCCCTCTCAGCCCAAGAAGGTGAATCTTGATTAATTTAAACCAAACACAGCAATTCCATTTAGTGAATGGTTTAGGAGTGGGTATGTGCACCATTCCAGCCAAGGGCCTCATATAAAACTAGCAACATGTCTCTGGTATTTTGAAGATCTGGCATTTTCTCTAGATAACCATTCATCATTTCTCTGTGCATTTGTGCTAACATTTCTTTTTCACCTGCAGGTTTCAAAAACACTATATAGGAAACCACTCACTAAACTTGACCATAACCTTGAAACTATGTACCCATATAGCTACTATTGATGAAATTAAGGTGGGCAGGTGAATTACACAGTGTTTTTCAGGTAGTACATAAACTGTATACACTTAATGTGATCACTGAAACTTATAGCATTGAAGAGCAATATTTAAATGTCTTAGACATCAGGAGAATGTCTAATGTCTCATTCCTTTCTTCCTTCATTTATTTAGTATAAATAGGTAGAGTATTTGCAAAGCTAGATGACTGGAATGTGTTCCTTGGTTCAAAGAGAATATAACTAGTAGGAAGTTGGCAAGAACACAATTATAACACAGTGTGATAGGCATGTAATCTTCTTGGTAATTCTCACATTCAACCAAAGCCTGACGGACACGCTTTCAGTTTTTTCTCTTGATAACCTATTTATTTTTGGTGATACTCAACTATGTGTGCTTGTTCTCCTGTCTAGTATAGTGGAACAGATTAGGGTAAGAATGTTTTCATGGAGCTTAATTGTTTCTTTACTCAATATTGACAAAGTAGTGCATCCTTAACGACAGTTGGCTACCAATAAGTCTCACAGAAAATTAAAATACAGGCTGTCATCAACTGTGGTTCGGAGGCATTCACAGCACAAGCAGTAAATGATTAAAATCAGATTACCTATAATTGATTAGTTGGACTGTAGGCAGAAGAGGTTTTTTTTTTTTTTCTATCAGAATCCTTGCCAAATTTACATTGCTGATATTAAGCAAATTAGAGAGACCTTTCATTAAAACTAACTATAGTTTTGAAATAAAAGCATTATTGATTTATTTTTTTTGAAGTCCATCCCAAGTTAAAGAAACATATGTAAGGAATCTCACAGACAAAATTAAACTGTATTTTCCTTAACTGGTACTTTTTTCTTTTTCCTTTATCATTTAATTTATACATGATCATAACAGTGATAAATGTTATTCAGCCTTACAAATTGACCAATAGTGTCATCTTGAAAATCTTTCAGTTTTTAAACATTCATTCCAATTCGTAAGTCACTGAGAATTTAAAGTCAAACTGGAGGTCATCCATTTTATTCTTGGCAAATTAAAAAAAAAAAAATACAACAACAGAAGAATTCAACTATTCACGCAGCCTGAATCAGGAACAAGGCACCCAAATTAATTCATACCATAAATAATTTAATGCTTTTGGATCTCAAACTTTGGATTTGATTTACAGTCTCATAAAACTGCCTAATATCAATATTTTCTTTCCTTTCTCCAAACTGGTCCCTCACTTAAACCGGGCTGTGGAACAGTGGTCACATAAAATAGCTCTCTCCATGATTTAACGGGAGACATAAATGAATATCCTAACTGTAACAGCCCGCAGGAGGAAATACATTCTATCTTTGCAATCCGAGTATGTTGCCCTATAGGCTCCATCTCTGACACAGCTCCTTCTGGCAGGTACTTTGGACAATTGCTCTACCTAATAATTGAACAAAGATACACGAATGCATTATTTCTTTACCTACTGACATGGGGTTATATTACCCAGAAGGACTCGCAGGTCCTCTGCAGAAGAGCAGGCCGGTTTGTACAAATGCTTTCCCGGGTACTGTCTATAAAGACAGTTTCCTGGGTTTCATTACTACTTTTAACAGCCAGCTTCCCCGAAGCATCAACAGAACAGCTGTTTGGAGCTTGCGCCTGCAACCTCTAATAGGTTCACAAGATGACCCCTGGAATGGGCCCCTGCCCTCATCATAGAATTACACCCTTAGCACTTGGGTTGCAAATAATCACACACCCACAGGCCCAGCTAATGAGAACAAATAACTTCCAGTGTCACCTGACAGCTTTTCTCTCCAAAGAAAGGAAAAATAGCAGCTGGGCTGGGCCAAGGGGACTTGAGACACACTGAGCAAAGCTGACAGTCCTTAAGCCTCTGGCTTGTTTTACAACCTGCCTTAGGCTCTCTGTGGAGACCTCCCTGCTCTGCCTCAGTGGAGCAGGACTATAGGGGAGCCCGAGATGCCAAGGAGAGAGCCCAGGTACCTCTCTTTTCCCCTAGGTAAGAATTCTCTCAGACAAGCCAGCCCCTCTGATACCGGGCTCATCTTCCACCCACACAAGTCTTTGTTCTTCTTCTTCTCCAGCAGGCTTCCAGGTGGCATCTCCCACCCCCAGTCCCCTGTTGCTGCTGCACTCCCCAGGAAGCAGGTGAGCAGAGGGAGGAGTCAGGGCTGCGGTATTGTCTGCTCTTACTTTCAAAATCATCCCTGAGGCTGGATGCGAAGTCACACTGGTGTGGAATAAACCACACTTATTCCAAGAGGGAGCCAATCCTCACCACATCCAGAGGACAGCCAGGGCTGGGTCAAGGGTGGTAGAGTGAGAAACTCAAAATGCACCAAGCTCTGACAGGGCTCCTCCTGCCTCACAGTCCTGCTTTCATCCTTGCAGGTGCTATTTTATCATGCAGAGCAAGTGTCCTACCGGCACGCCCCTTTAAAAACCTTGTTAAGACAGGACAAGTTTTGGAAATTGTGCTTTGGAGAAATTTTCAATGCTTCTGAGTTTGATTTATCATACTGAGACAGCTGGGGGTGAGCAAGTGGAGTCTTGGGCAGAATCACGAGAAGGACTTGGGTTCTAATGCTGCCCGTGTTAATTATACACTGATATGTATGGGGGAGGGGGGACAGCTTAACTCTATACATCTATGGAGGAGGGGGAACTGACTACCTCTCAAGTTGTGAAAAGTGCATGAGATGATAACTATAACCGGAAAAACCACCGTGGACAGTACCTGATAAAAAGCAGTCACCCAATGAAAGTTAAATCTGAATCTGAACATTTGAACTTCAAAGACTAAAATGCATTTTCGGGTAAGCAGTTAATGAAGAATGGTTTGAGAATAAAAGATGTTATTTACATAGGAATGAAGTGTTTGCATGTGTGCGTTTATAATATGCATGTATAAATATGAATCACTAAGTACCTATATTATTTATTTGCTCTGTAAAATACTGGGAGTGGGAGAAAATCATCTAAATGTGTATATGGGATTGCAGGGAAAATTAACTGGGAAATTAATTTGGGGCTGGTAATCTCCATTCATTAATTTAGTCATTCAACAAATACACATCAAGTGCAAGGGCTACAGATTATGCTGGATCTTGGAGAAATAATGGTGAATAGAACACGGGTGCTGCTTCATGGTGGTTAGAGTCTGGAGCAGACACAAGAGGTCCCTTATCTGTTGATTTCCTGGTCTACTCTTGCAATGGGCATTTGAAGCATGTGAAAGCCACAAGCAGGATCATCCCCCATCTCCATCGATAAGACACTGCTTTTCAAGATTCCTTAGGACCCAAGCAAGGGACACACACTGAGAATGTCTGATGATTCCACAAGTCCTGGCTTACAGCATGGGAATCAGAGAGGAAGGTCAGAACTGCCCTTAACAACGCATTATTGCCTTTATTTAGCCTTGGTTTAAAAGAAATTCTGGGGCTTTTTTTCTTTTACTGAACTACCTCCAAAGTCGAGTTTTTCCTGCCATTGTGCTCTGAAATAGAGAGCACAGAAAAGTCAAAGACCTCAAATGTGGATCCTCACTGACTATAAGGAACTCGCCCTATTCTGATGGTTTGAAGAGGAAGGCAGGTTCTCTAACTTCTGTGTGCAAAGGCTCTGCCTGGGAAGTCTGTTAGGT